CCACACAGAACTCAGAGATATGGCTTCCAAGTAACAGTTCGCTTCCACTGGCTATGGCGACTGTGCGCCTCAAACAACTCGCTGTTCACACTCGGGATCACCCTGGATGTCCCACGCACATCACTCTGCACAMTCRCACCGTACACACACACTGCACTCTACGCTAAGCTATGGCAGCTATTACTGCCGCTACCTATCGCTATGGCTACACTGCTTCACTCTCGCCCACTTCGTCTTCGGGTCTCCAGCAGACCTCCTTGCACAAGACGMTGAGGCAGCGCTTCCGCATGGCTTCCGCAGGAATGAATGAATGGCTGGGCGCAGCCTCTTGCTTTATACTTCTGTGRTGCGTTGGTCTGCCCTGTATCCCTTGGCCCACGGTGTGCACAGTCCCAGACRGTACTTGCTTGACTGGACCGGACTGGGTGGACTGGGACTGCTGACTGTACGAGGTGGACTGCCACCACTTGACCACTTGCCTCTGCCTAACGTAGGCTGACTCCGAAAGGCCACTTCTAGAACTCTCTGTTTTGGCCTTTCGGTACTGTAGCAGGTACGACTTTGCCCTTTCAGGTAAGTAGCAGCTGCGACCTTAACCCTTCGGACAGTCTACAGCTACGACCTCTAGACTGTCTAGACTCCTACCCGACAGGTCTACAGTTCGAATCTCTTCTACCCTGTAGCCTACGAAATCCTACCTACCACTGGCGGTCCTACAGGTCGCAGGTTCAAATCTACGGGTTGACACCGGTACTGTACACAGGTAAGATGGGGAACTAGGGATCGAGCCCTGGGATCTGCATCAGCTACTGCGAACTGGTGAATACCGTTTCACTCCCACCGGCCTAAATTCGAGGTCCTCCGAGAAAATTTCAGTCCAAGGCAGGACCTTTACCTCTCTGTTGTTTCTCGTAGGCCCGAAATATATCGGGAGCTGTCTCTAGAAGTTCAGATCTCGTAAACCAGCGGTCGCCTTCCGGTTCTTGATAACTAAAATGAACCTTGTACTATCTCTGTGGGCGACCTCTACCTCCAGTCCTGAAGACATCTTCAGCCACTATACCATCGATGTCATATCTTCCATCCATATCCGGTGGGATCATCGACCTACGGATGGAAAATGATCACTTGTTTGACAAGGTAGCAACTTCGATGCATGGAAAACCGGGTAAGTGTGGAGGTGTGCTGGGAGTTCTATGGTGTAGGACGGCCCATCTTCTCCGCCTTTGACTTCCAAGACTGGCCACGGTCCTCTATAGGTGGGCAGTAACTTTTGCGAGATGTTCTGCTCAGGAGCAAACTCTTTAGAACTGACCCAGACTAAGTCGCCGACTTGAAACTATGAGGGGCGACGATGCTTGTTGGCTTGCTCTATCATCTTGTGCTGGGCCTTCCTGAGGTTTTCTACAATAGTAGCTAGTTCTTTTTCGTGTTGCACAGCAAACTCCCTGGTCCCGKGTGGCAATCTGTGAATCTAATCCCGGTTGAGTCCTTCAAATGGTCTACGGGGCCTAAAGGACTTGTGCAGTTCGTTGGGAGTGCGGCAGGTGGACAGATGCACGCTGTTATTGTACGCACTAGCTACTTTAGGCAGCATCTCGTCCCAGTTAATCTGATATGGTCTAATCTACATGCGCCAAACTTGCTGTAGGATCTTGTTCATCTGCTCTGTCTGACCGTTAGTCTCAGGATGGCGGCCGGACGACATCAACAACTTAGATCCATACACTCCCATGAGTTCTTCCCAGTTCTGGCTGGTGAAGCGACTATCTCTATCACTAACTATTGACAGTGGAATTCCATTCTCACCCACCTAACAGTCAAAAACCCTCTGTATGATGAAATCAGTACGTGCCTCTGGAGGCAAAGGAACAAAAACTGCGTACTTACTAAAACGGTCAACTATGACCATGACTTGGCTCTTCCCATGCCTGCTCTTGACCTGAGTGTCCATGAAGTCTATGGACACTGAGTCTCCCAGCTGATCCGGAATAGTGGAATTCCATTCTCACTCACCCAACAGTCAAAAAACCTCTGTATGATTAAATCAGTACGTGCCTCTAAAGGCAAAGGAACAAAAACTGCGTACTTACTAAAACGGTCAACTATGACCATGACTTGGCTCTTGCCATGCCTGCTCTTGACCTGAGTGTCCATGAAGTCTATGGACACTAAGTCTCCTGGCTGATCCGGAATGGGCAGGGGTCTGAGAAGACCTAACGGGGCACGCATAGAAATTTTGTTACGCTGGCAAACTTTACAACTGCAAACGTACTCTACGCAGTCATTCTTCATTCCTGGCCAGGTATATGCGCGCATCAGATTGGCTAAAGTCTTTTGCCAACCAAAATGACCCTCTGTGTCGTGGCATTCTCCTAAAATCAGACTACGGATCTCTTCACTACTGGGAATGCACAGGCGGTCGAATACATTAGTCTTCTCAAAAAGCAACCCTTCCGTAGTGCAGTAGTTTGGCTCAGTCTTTGGGGCCATCTTGACCTTCTTGAGAGGTCACTATAGATAGGGTCCTGTGCATAGGCTTCTCTAATCTTTTGCTGCAGGTCCTTCCCTATGTCTAAGTAATGCACTATTGCCCCAAAGTAATCAGCTCTCCTACTAAGAGCATCCGCAACTACGTTATACTTCCCCTTGACTGGCTTGAGCTCAAAGTCGTACTGATCTATTTCTGCGGCCCACCTAGTAAGCTTAGGTGTCATCTTGGCCTGCGTCTTTAACCACCTTAACGTCTCATGATCGGAATAGACTTTGAAGTGCCTCCCAAGCAAGTAGTGCTTCTCGTGTTCTAAGGCTTGCCTGAGAGCGTAGAGTTCCCTCTCATAGGTAGATGTCGCGACCTTCTCTGAAGGCATCCTGGCGGACATGAACTCTACGGGTCTATAACCATTGCCATCGTCTTGCTGTAACACGACACCTATGCCGTACTGACTAGCGTCCGTAGTGACGACAAAGGGCAAGGACGGATCGGCTACCTTAAGGACCGGGTACTCTATCAATGCCTGCTTTAACTTCTTCATGGCAGACGTGCAGTCCTTGTCCCACTTCCAGATGGTTTCTTTCCTCAACAATCTGCGAAGGGGTGCAGCGATGGTGGAGAAGTTCCTCACGAACTTCCTGTAGTAGTTAGCTAAGCCCAAGAACGAGCGCAATTCCATCAGCGTACGTGGGGTGGGCCAATCTCTAATCGCTGCGATCTTACAATCCTCGGGTTTAACGCCGTCTTCGTCTAAGACGTGGCCTAGGTATAAAACTTGGGTCTTCGCCCAATCGCACTTCTTTGCATTGATCTTGAAGTTAGCTTCCCTCAACTTCTCCAAGACCTGCCTGAGATGACCCTGGTGTTCTTGGAGGGTCTTACTAAACACTAAGATATCATCTAAATAGACAACAACAAATCTGTCTAACCATGGCCTAAACAGATCGTTCATACAGCGCTGGAACGTTGTTGGTGCATTGGTTAGTCCAAAGGGCATCACTATGAACTCATAGTGCCCATATCTAGTCCGGAAGGCTGTCTTATACTGATCATCAGGATGCACTTCTATCTGATGATATCCGGACTTCAAATCTATCTTGGAGAAGTACTTCGCCCCCTGCACTCGATCTAAGAGATCGTCTATCCTAGGCAGTGGCTCAACATTCTTCACTGTAATAGCATTCAGACCCCTATAGTCTATGCACATCCTCAGCTCTCCCTCTTTCTTGGGAACAAAGAGAACAGGCGCTCCAAAAGGAGACGAACTGGGCCTAATCCAACCCTTCTCGAGGAGCTCGTCTAATTGCTTGCGAAGCTCCTCTATCTCCCGTGGGGACATCCTATACACAGCGCCCTTAGGAGTTCTACTGCTAGGCTCTATCTCAATACGGTGCTGGATGGGCCGCGGTACCACTCCTATCGGCGGCTCAGTTAGGTCCTTGAACTCTTCCAACAGCTTGGCAATCGCAGGGTCCATCGGCTTTTCTTCCGTAGGCTCAGTCACTGGCCTAACATAGGCAACAAAAACCTGTTCCTCCAATCTCTCCTTTTTCACTAATCTGGCGAACACAGGAGCACTAAGGCAGCAATGTGCCAAGGGATTCTCTACTCCTGACACATGGAACAGGCGGGCAGTCTTGGCCTCGCCTGAAGAACTAGGGAGCCTACACTCATGCTCCTTCAAATGGAGCGTGGCCCCGGCTGCCTCTCCCCAATCCATCCCGAGAACGATATCAAATGGGAGGCTGTCTTCTACGAGGAGAGTCAGGGAGTGGAGAACCTTCTCCACTTTCCCATCTTTCTCTAGGCGGAAATACGCCTGGACTCCCTCTACGTAATCCTCTACAACCATAGTACGATTGTCCGCGAGGATACTAACTATGGGGTCTGTTAGTTTCTGGACTTTAAGTCCCAGCTTCAATTTCTGCAGCGCTTTCTTACTAATATAGATGCGGGTGGCCCCTGAGTCTACTAGGGCCCCTACTCTACCTCTAAAAATCTCTGTATCTAGTAATATAAGTTGTCCTTTATTCTCTTTCTTCATCTTGGCCCAGGCAGCCACCCTCTCCTTCAATTCATCAGCTACGCCTGTGAGGGAGGTGTCTAGAGAGACTCTAACACAAGCAGTCTCTGGACAGCGATCTAGACACCGGCCTGCAACCTCTGCCATAGGCACATGTGGTGTGGGAGTCTCTTGCCGGCTAGCGCTATGTTCCCCACATGGCCTAATGGTAGGGGCAGTTGCTACCCCTACCGGCGGCTGCCTTTTGGCCCTTGAGCAGCCATCCGGGTCTCTCTATACTTGACAATATTTGATGATATGGCCCGGGTCACCGCAAAAAATGCACTGGCCCCGGTCCAATCGCTTTTGCCATAAGTCGTGGTCCAGACCCAAACTTTCCCAAGGCCTACCCTGGGGTACCCTGGGTGCCATCCTCCTACCCTATAGGGAGACCTGTTCCTAGGACGGTTTTGCGGGGGACCTTGACCCCTTCCTCCCGCTTGGCGGTTTCCTCCTCTGCCGCCAACCCCCTGATCGCCCGGCAACCGGCTCCCTGAGGCCCGCCCCCCTTGGCCCTGGCCTCGTCCTCCTCCTTGCGGCCTCCCTCCAGCCGCGACAGCAGCGTAAGTTCTCCCCTGGCCCACACCGTTGTCCTCCTCCTCTAACCCCCACTCAATCTGATCGTAGGGGATCTTGCCCAGAGATAGTGCGGCCCTTCCATTGCTTTCCCTTACCCAAATCTTTGTGCCAGAAGGTGGAGACTGACACAGACTTTGCCTCAAAGGCCACCACTTCACGGCTAAGGGAATCGTAAGTGGTGGCAGGGTCTTCGCTCTTCGCGAAGAAGTGCCCGCGAAAAGCTTCGGGCATAGCTCTGTAAAAGAGGGCAACCAACTGGGTGTCTCTAACCCCGTGGTCAGGGACAGCTACTAGTTCGTCCATGGTGCTCTTGAGTGCCTTGGCGCTCTTCCACTTACGAGCGTGGATTGTCTAGAGCTTATCTGAGGCCTTGACACTGCGAGCAACATCTGCAAATCGCTCGCGCAGCAATTTCATGAACTCAGCGAGGGAGGTGAATGACGAATAGGTAACTGCATCATCATTGCAGTTAGCGGCGCGCACTAGGGACCTTGCAAAGCTGGCAGCTTGGTCTCTGAGCGCATGGATCGCAATCAAGACTTGCTGATCCGGGGAGACCTGTTGCAGGTGCACATAGGTCTTGACATTGGCCTCCCAATTGTCAAAGTTTTCTTCCCTCTTTCCAGTGTAGGAATCAGGGAACTTAACTTTGACTGGCTCCCTACGAGGACGCGGCTCGCCCTCCTTGGGAGCTGCCACCTTGACGCCTTCAATTGCGCCAACACAAAAACGCTCAGTCTTCTCGAGGCGATGATTCACCTCGGCTCCTACAGCTCCTACCAATTCGCGGGCAAAGTCCCGGAACCCCATCCGCATCGAACGCACAGCTATGTCCTGACTTCGGCTAAACTCGTATTGCTGTTCTTGTACCCTCGCTAAACGTTGGATGCTCTGGGCAATGATATCCACCTTTTGTTGGAGGTCTACCTGGGGGGTCAATCGTAGAGTTAGTTTTTGCACCTCCTCCAGCTCTTTAACCGCCTCACTTGCCGCCTCCACTCTTCTTTTCTTCTCCCTCATCATTGCGAGTTTCCACACCATCCTCGTTTCATCTTCCATCGCCTGCCGCTTCAGAACATCTTCTTCTTCTTCCCATTTCTTCATAGCGGCTTCCTGCTCATCCTTGGGGATATACATGGTTACCTCTTCGTCTTCGCCCAGGGATGAGTTGGCGACCCACTCCGAAATCCGTTTCTCCATTTCTTCATCTTTGCTACCACCGTGCTGCCCTCTCCTCCGTTGCAGTGGCGTTTCATCTTCTTCTTCCTCTTCCATCTCTTTCAATTTCTCCTCTTCCTCCTTCTTCAACCTCTCTTTTTCTCTAGCCATCTCCTCCTCCATCTTCTTCAATTTTGTCGCTTGCTCCTCCTGCAAGGCCTTTTTCTTGGCCTCCTCCTTCTCCTTTCTCTCCTGCAGGATGGCGGCCATCTTCTCCTCCTCCTCCTTCGTGTAAGGTTGGGTGGAAGTACCACCCCGCGTCCCTACTCTACACGTGAAAGTGGGCCAAAAGCCTGGGGAACCCTGCAAGCAGCCCATACATCGGATAGTCATCCATCGTGGTATCAGGTGCACGACAAGAGTCCCACTCCTTACCACTTAGACCTACCCGGACACTGACCTACTGACTGACTCTCTAAGGTCACTACTCAAAACTACTCTAAGGCTGTCACTACTGAACCAATAGCTGATCAGGAGGCATTTAAGGAGATCCCCCAAACTCCGCAAGAATTCTTTAACGTCGCAGTCAGGACGACGTGATCAGCGTGGTTCTTCCTGGCGATTTCAGCCCACAACTCAGCCGTTCCGGCCTACTGTGCCACACCGAGCAGCCCGCCGGTCTGTACCGGTCCTTGGAGGGTTTCGTATCCCTCGGGACAGTCGAGTCGTCAGACACAGATCATCAGCCTTACTAGGTCCGGTAGGGGAGTGGTTCAATCAGGCCTCAACACTTAAAGATGGCCTTCGTTTCAGCCTACAGCTCGGAGTTCGGACCCTCTACACTGAAACTGAGTAGACCTGTTGGACAATACCGGTCATTGGGCTAGACGAGTTGTTTAACGAGCGCTCGCCGCTCATGCCCAGGTCTCCGGATGCCAGAGTAAAGATTAGTCCTACTAAGTCCCGTGCAGGTTTGGCAGCAAGGCCCTATCCTTCATCCACAGAGTCCTAACACCTAGGACAGAAGAGACTCAATTCAGAAAGAGTAGACAGACAGACTCGGCAAGTACCGTGGGGTAGGTGCACATCCACAGGGTAAGGGGATAGGCTAAGGGCTCAGCGAGATATCACCAACTCCAGCTTGGTCAAAATCTTGGTCAGCAGCTCCGGTCAACGCCTTGGTCAACGCTGAGTCAACGCGGGCAACCCCCAGTCAACGCTTGGTCACACCCTTGGTCAACGCCCTGGTCAACCCTCTGGTCAACCCTCGGTCAGCCCTCTGGTCAACGCCCGGTCAACCCTTCACCTCGGCTATGGCTGCCGGCACCTTCACCTTCGTCACCCTCGCCGCTTACTTCCCCTTCCTTCACTCTTCTTCTCCTTCACTTTCTCTGTTTTTTTTTTTTTTTTT